CCATTACGCGCAATTTTGAAAATTGGGAAATTAAAGGAATATAAAACCCCAGGGGACTGGCCGAGGAACCACTGAAACTCTTATTCATACAATTTCTAGACCATCTAAAGTCCATCTAGATTGGAAATATACAAGTGGTGTCCACATCTTCATAAAGAGCAGAAGTACCTTGTATATATAAATGTACCTTCTTGTATATGTAAATGTACCTTCTTGTATATATAAATGTACCTTCTTGTATATGTAAATGTACCTTCTTGTATATATAAATAAAAAAAATTAAAAAAATAAAATAATACTATGGAAGAGAATCACTCGGCGTCCCACAACGAACAATATTGTACAATCAACACAACATGGTTTTATTTTTAGAAAATTCTGTCTAAATAACCTCACATTTCTGGATACGGTAACCAGCTGAGTCCACATAGTTTACATGGACTTCTTTCAGACTTTTGACAAGGTACCACATGAAATACTGGCGCGTTAATTACAAGCACATGGAATAAGCTGTAAAATTTTAGGAATGGTCGTCCTAAATGGAAATAAATCTAACTGCAAAATGTAAGCGGAGTACCGCAAGATGCCATCTTGGGACCAATGTATATCAGCGACATAGCTGAGAATGTTAGAAACCACATCATCAGATTTGCAGGTGACACAAACATCTATGGTAAAATGAGAAGTGAATACGATACTGAGGCCTTACAAGGCGATCTACCTGAACTCCACAAATGGTCAGAAGACTGGTAAATGATTTTCAATATTGAAAAATGCAATACCTTGCATATAAATTAAGGTATAGGATATAGCAATGGCATCAACAACACGATCATGTAGCAAACTGATGAAGAAAATTACCTAGGAGTTATGATCCACCAGTCATTAAAAGTTGCTCAGCAAGTAGAATCTGCAGTAGAATAAATAAAGCCAACCAAACCTCTGGAATAATCAACAGAACCCAAAGACATACCAGGAACGACTTTGGGCCACAGAACAGACAGAACCGCAAACTAAACATGACAGGGCTGATCTCATCGAGGCATTTATAATACTGAATAAGTTGGAGGATATTAATCCAGACCCCTTCTTTAAAAGATCAAGTGTATTGTATACGAGGGGCAACATCTTCAAGTTCAACAAGCTACAATGTAGGACAGAAACAGCTCGAAATGCTTTTTCACCATTCTATCTATATCTATAAAAGGTAATTGTAATCTGTCTGTCCAATGTTGGAGGCCTTGGAGTTAGCCTCATACAATTTTTTCAGTAACAAAAGAATGGAGGTAACTGCAGAAGGCCAATTGGCCAAAACGAGGCAGCTCCAGCTTATATCCATAAAATGATGGCACGTGGACGGTATGGAAGTGTCATAGGCCAGTTGAGGTCTGTCCAGTGCCCCCTTTTAAGAAATATCAGCTACTGCTATTTTTCATAAAGTTTGAAATTTGGGGATTTGTTTTCCAGACAGGGAGAGGAAAGGAGATTAAGGATGGAGGGAAAAGAAGAGGAGGGAGGGATTGAGGATAGGGGAAAAGATGGAGGGAGATTGGGGATAGGGAAAAAGAATGGAGGGAGAAAAGTGGAGATGGGAAAAGGGAGACGAAAGGGGAGATAGGGAAAGAGAGCTGAAAGATAGAGGAAGACTGGAAGAGGGAGAGATGGGGTGGGAGGAGTGAGAGAGACCTCGGCACAGCAGGGAACCCCATCTAATGTCATAAACCGATGTATGGAATCGCCTTTATCCGCTGAAGCCGTAAATGCTAAGACATTGTTTCAATTAAAAATCCAGATAAACAAAATGCTCAGGAATAATGGGGTGGAAGGGATTCTTTGACAATCCGACGACTTCCTGTTCCCATCGGGGCCACTAGAGTTGAAAAAAAGAATCATAATTTATTTTCATTTTTTTTTTCATTTTCAAATTACGTCCATATTCGACCATACTGGCAAACGGCCAAAAGCGACGTTCTTTTTAAGAGGACAGGTTGCTCTAGTAGCCTCACGAAAAATTAGGTATATTTAATGAGGATAACTGTACACTTGGTCTAATGAAGGGGTGAGGTGCTAGTGGCAAGAATTGCTGGAGTATGTTGATATTATATACTCTACTGTAATATGGTTTCATAACGAGTGAACAAAGGGATATATGTTTATCAACTATAATGACCAGACCACATACTAGAAGGTTAAGGGACGACAAGGTTTCGGCCCATCCTAGACCATTCTCAAGTCGATTCTATAACTATCAACTATACTTTCTTTTATCAACTATAACTTTCATATCAATATAATGTTCTCTTTTATTTTCCCCTGAGCTGATGCCTTAATCCTGTCTCATGAAAGTGGGAAATTCAGTGGTATAATGCATAGTATATTAGAGCAAATAACTGTAACTGTATTTCTTTGTACTTTTGTAAGTTTTAATTAAATTATTTGCATTATTTTAGTGGTGCTAAAATACTCATTAACTGACTATTAAGAGATAATAATAATTCTTAACCCAGGAATCACTGATAGATGCTTTAATGTATCTTTAGTGCTGATACAATATCAGGAAGAAAGGCTCAAGCTTTCTTTTTCCATACATGCTCCCTATATTTGACAAGATGTCACTGTCAATCACCAGGCAGATACATTTGTTGAAGTGCAGAATTAAGGTGAATGATCAAATGCACTTGTCATTCTATCATTACTTATTTTAATTACCTGTGGTGTCAATACCAACAATCAACATCGTTCTTTCCTTCCTGACATTCCAGCTCTGCATGACACCAGCACACCTCTGTGAACGACACGTCATCAATAATAGACACTACGTCAATAACTGCTATCACTAGCATACATCAACAGTAACGAACATTAGCAGTGACACCAGTTCGAATTGACATGCATTTAATAACTGCTGCCATGCCATCAATACCTATATTAACCTTTGGTCAGTCTTTGGTTGTAAGGGATATGGATTATCGATATGAGGATCATAAAGGCCGTGATCCACCTTAGTCTGTAACCAAATAATCTATACTGAACTTTAATCCAGACTTCAGTTCATGATTAAAGTTACTCTCTATATGTACGCCTCTTGGTGTACTTTATCTCCTACAATGTTTTGATTCAGTATAATAGTTAGTCACTTTAAATGTGATGTTAAACCTATACTATTTGCTGATGATACTACCCTCATCTACTCAGACCCCAACCCACACACACTAAATAATGTTGTAAATAACGAATTAAAAAAAGTCCACTCGTGGAAGTCGACTAACAAGCTCACACTAAACATAGAAAAGACCTACTACATTTTATTTGGAAGAAAATCATCAAATGAAATTCAGTTTCAGATAGACAATGTTAACATCATCAATAAAAATTATGGAAAATTTCTTGGCCTATACATACCACAAGAGACTCAACTTCAGCACCCACATACAACACATAACCAAAAGAAAAAGTCTAAAAAATGGTCGGTATACTTATCTAAAATAGGATATTATGTTCCAAACTCTGCTCTCCTCTCATTATACTACGCGCTAATCTATCCCTATCTTACATACGGTATCTGTGCATGGGGCTCAACCACTGCAGAGTACCTCAAGCCCATCATCACCCAGCAAAAATCTGCTATCAGGACAATAACAAACTCTGTTTTCAGACAACACACAACCCCTCTGTTTAAATCCATAAACATGCTAAACATAAACTCACTCCACACATTCTCTTGTACCATTTACATGTACAAAACCTTGTTCTTAAATGCAAATCCTGATCTGAAACTCTTCCTTGACAGATGTAATAGAACCTATAATCATTACACCAGAAGTAAATATATCTTTGATATCCCCAGAGTCAAACTAAATCTGTGTAAACACTCTGCTCAAATAAAGGGACCTAGTCTATGGAACTCACTCCCTAACGAATTAAAAAGCTGTTCAACCTATGCCTTATTCAACAGTAAAATAAAAAAAGAACCTAATTTCATCCTCATAGTTCCCTACCCAGTGCTTCAAACTCGCACTGTATCTTGTGCTACCCACTCCCCCAGATGTCAAAATAATAACCTTCATAGCCTTCCCGGTTCGGTATCTTCTTTTGATAATTACTTACCCACTCCCCTAATATATGTTCTTAAGCCATACAACTTCACCATTGTAATCACTGATATCAACTTATATCATGGTTGTTCTGTTGAACGCAAATTTTACCACAATGTACCTTTTAATAATCCTCAAATTATGCTACAATGTACCTGTTGATAATCCTCAAATTTTACTATAATGTACCTATTAATTGTCTACAAATTTCTTACAATGTACTTGTTAATATCCTTCAATTTTTGCTACACATTACCTACTTAAAATTATATGTTAGAGTAAGGAGAAAGTTGCCCGAAAGGTTATGCGTGTTAGTGGCTTTGCAAGAATGTAAAAAATCCATGCTGTGTACTCTCATAAATCCAATGTATCTTCTTGTATAATATATATATAATGTGTATAAAAAACTAAGGACATTGAAATATTATTATGGAGTGTATCATTTGTATTTTGAACTTAAACATTACACATGCTAAACTGAGTATCTCTAACATCGACAATTATTTATGCAAGGTGAGAGTTGCAGGCCAACAAAACAATATTTACACTATGAGGGAGATGTAATATGTATCGTGAGAGCGTTTACTGCTTTGCGTGTTTATATTTCAGTGTAACAGTGTAAATAGCTAAAAGACAATTTATTACCATCAACAAAATTGAAAGGAAAGGTGACAGTAATGACACACAAAAGGTAACACTGTAATAACACACAAAAGGTAACACAGTAATGACATACAAAAGGTAACACAGTAAAAACATACACACAAAAATCATTTTGTTAGTAGCTACCTCACAAAAATGTTAATGAGTTTACTGATGACCTACATGTGCTAGCTAACATTACTTCTTATGGCCACGCAGAACCCAATTTGCATGCTGAGTGGAGTCAGGGGCTCAGGTCCGCACCGTATCAGCATTAGGAGTGGAGGAGACGCCTTGCTGGTGGATGGCAGCTTCTGTTGGGGCAGATGATGACTCTGTTACAGGCAGGATCGCACAGTTGAAGGCATCATGAGAGGTTGTATCTTTGTATTTCGCAATCAGCTCGGCGTGACTAAGATAAGGCATTTTTCCTTCCTTAGCTTTCACCATCCTTTGCGATGTGTCAATGAGATTTTCGTGGATGTATATTTTCAGACCCTGCAACATCCTAGAGCATCTCAGCACAGCACATCGATCCTTGTAGTAGCAAAATGTAACGATAACTGGGCGTGGACGGTGGTCTTGTTGCTGCCCCTCGCGATGAACTTGTTCCAAGGGGACACCTGACATCTTCAGCTTCTCTTCCAAGAACTTAGATACCTTGGCAGTCAACTGCTCCGATGTTTCATGTTCGAGTTCATCCATTCCTTCGATACAGAGACTGGTGTGGGTGGGATGACTGTCTGTGATGTGGTTTGCATCTCTTGTCAGTTGACTGGAGCGAATCCGATCTTGCCACTTCATGGTATTTTGGGTATTTTGCTTATCGTCAGCTTTATTGTTAGCAAGTTGCTTCACCTGGGATTTTAAATCGGAAACATCAGCTTGGATGTATTCCAGGCTTTTAGCCAGTTCCAGTATCTGCACTTGGGAAGCATCAATTTTATTTGTCAACTGAGTGACAAACAATTCCAATGCATTTTTATATGCTTCATGTTGAGTGTCGATCAGAAGCTTTATTGCAGCACACTCCATTGTTCACTCTGGTTGCAAGTACAAAATTTAATTGATTAGGTTTTTTACTTTATTAGAAGTGTCAGCACCGCGATAGTTATTATAACAAATTTCACGAATATTACAGTTTCTCGGGCTCATTTATATTCACGGCATTGAAGACGGTATGTATTTATATCAAGGACGGGATAACGCGGGCTCTCAAAACCTTAGAGTCTGGCACTGCACTGGTATAACCAGAGCATCACTATGACAGCATCAGTACCTTGCCACCGGCTCGGTCAAGTGTCTCGTCCAGCTGAACTTCTCGCAAATGTCAATATTGTCGCTGCCTGTTTGTCAACAACGTGCGTTCGGAGCCGGAATCCGGATTTACGGAAATATAAATAAACTAGCTGAGATGGCATTGATATTTAGAAAATTAATGACAATTTAACAATTTACATGAATATCAATAACAATTTATTGATATTCTTTGTTTACGAAGGAGATATACAAAGTTTCCTAATAGTTTTGATCTGAAATACAATATCAATTTTGATATTGATATAGATATATTTTCAATAAATGTCGTATATTGTAAAATAATTGTTTACATATGTCCACATATAAAGAGACGGTGGCTCTCAGGTAAATATATTAACGTATATTAGATAATAATAATAATTTTATAAGCGCAGTGAGCAGCGCCGTTGGTTTACAACTGAAAGGTCCCGGGTTCAATTACCTCGTCAGAACAAATATGTTTCGGCAACGTTTCATTTCACCTCATGTCTCTGTTCACCCATCAGTAAATAAATGCTTAGGAATTAGTCAACTGTTGTGGTTGCATCCTGGGGAATGGTAATTATATTAAGTACCTGTAGGTTAAAGGTACATCCTCACAAAACCACAGACGCGCACAGCGGTGGGTCTCCGACTAGTCTTAAGGCTAACATGTATATAATGATCGATAATTTAAAGTCATTTGGGAATTTCAATTAGTAGTGGATAGTGACAGTTTAATTAATGTAGATAAAGTATTGTTATGTACATAATCGCAATGTCACTCATAAATGTTACAAAATATGTTGTCCTGTACACCAGTTGCAGAGTGCTCCTGGCAGTATTGGTTCGAGTCACTTCTGGGGTCTGAGTTTTCAGTTGCATATATGCCTGAGGACCATTCAGGCTTGTTCGTATATGTTACAAAATATCTCGCAAACCTTTACAATTTATACCTACGTATAAACCATAAATATAATAAACAATGCAGACGATTTCATTCCTAAATATATATATATATATATATATATATATATATTAGTGTAATTCCATATAAAGTCTATGACAATTAAGAATTAGCACATATATTATTAACAGTTTTACTTTTAAAATGTGCAAGGGAGTCTGACGAACGCTGTGGATCCATGACGTCACTGGTGGGCGGAAGAAGGGAGGCAAAACATGGACGTCCTTCCAGAGACTTTTTCGTAAATATCTCACCTCTGCAATTACTTAACCATTCTAGTTACAAGGTTGTTTCATATAACTTGTACAAATAGTATCATTATTTCAGTTATTCGATCCTGTGCTAACCTATACCTGTACTTTTGTGTAAATTTATAAATCTAGTTTATCCTCCCTATCAGTATTATTGTGCCTTCGTTCCCAACGTCAAAAAACTGTCGTACTAAAGTGCCATATCCTAATCTACCAGAGGACCCACGAACATAAAGTGAAACATTATGTCAATTATGCGAGCCGCTACAATTTTTTTGGAGGCCTTAGGTTAAGTATACGTCAAAATGCAACGTACTATTTGGAGGACGGATTGCATGACAACCTAGTTAACTCTATAGCTTCCCTGCCACCTATTTCCTTACTTGGTGAACTCACTTTCCATGTGATACAGTCGTTCTTCAGTAGAGTTTGTTCCTATGACATATCTGGAGCCAGTCATTCCAGTCACTGGAACCAGTGTAATACAAAACTACCTGATATGATGCTTATTAAAGGAAAGACAGTGTTGTTGAGCTCATGTTGCTTATTGTTGAGTAATTTGCACAATTATGCAAATCCAGAAGTGCTGACTCAGTCCTCACTTTTGTTACACAAAGCTGCTTGCTAATGAATTTTGTTGCGACGTCAATGTCATTCTTTATAATTGTTTAAAACGAAATGAACGCAAATGAATGTGTCTTTCAAAGTTTCTATTGTTTTAATATGGTTTATGTTAATAAGCCACGTCACGTCTGGACCCAACTATCTCATTACAAATATTGTGAATTATGGTGTCGAATACGTAATAACTCAAGTGTAAATAACAGGTAATTATTCTCGTCCCAGGAAATGTGTGTGTGTGTGTGTTCACCTAGTTGTGCTTGCGGGGATTGAGCTCTGCTCGTTCGGCCCGGCTCTCAACTGTCAATCAACTGGTGATGTGTGTGTGTGTGTGTGTGTGTGTGTGTGTGTGTGTGTGTGTGTGTGTGTGTGTGTGTGTGTGTGTGTGTGTGTGTGTGTGTGTGTGTGTGTGTGTGTGTAATTACCTAAGTGTAGTTACAGGATGAGAGCTACGGTAGTGGTGTCCCGTTTTCCCAGCACTCTTTGTCATATAACGCTCTGAAACTACTGACGGTCTTGGCCTCCACCACCTGTGTGTGTGTAATTACCTAAGTGTAGTTACAGGATGAGAGCTACGCTCATGGTGTCCCATCTTGTTAAACCTCATTATCATATTGACGCTTTGAAACTACTGACGGTTTTGACCTCCACCACCTTCTCACTCGTTCCAACCGTCTACCACTCTTTGAAAAATGGGATCTTTCTAATATTTATTTGGCACTTTTGTTTCCTGTGCTTGAATCAATGACGTCGTGTTCTTGAAAAGCGAGAGTGTGAAAGTAAGCGCGTGTGTGTGTGTGCGGAGGGGGGGGGGCACGAATTCAGATATTAAAGAAAACAAAAATTCGACATAAATCCCGCGAGACTAATTATGATACATAGACTTTCTTTGAACCTTTCCCCCGCCGGGTGGGGGTCGGAGGTGCATGATAAGCAAAGCAAATTATGAAAATTACATTGCTTAGCGTAGAGACTGTACGTGTGATCTTTCTCGAACACGATGTTGATATACACATTAAATTTGTGTAACTGTAGCTTATCAAGACTAATACTTGTTAAGCTAAAATAATTTTGGCGGTCAATTCCTGAGCCCATTATGTACCTCTGTAACCTTTTCCACTACCGCCCACAGGATGGGCATCGGGTGCATAATAAATGAACTAACGTTGAACTGTTTCATGTACATTCGTGACGAGGCTCCGACGTGCACACAAGTCGACGACAACCTGTACACGCAATTTAGTGACTTGACAAACACCAATTATTTCCCAAAACACAAGGGAAACAAGATCCATTTAACCGCGCAGGCAATCAACATAATCTCCTGTATGTTCCACAACTGCATATAACATCGCAATCACTAATATTTAAATATAACCGCGCAGACAATCAACATACTCTCCTGTATGTACCACAGCAGCATATAATATCGGAATCACTAATATTTAACTATTTATTAACTGAAACACCGATTTTCAGTGTGGTGTAGAGGCGGGTATGGGTGGGAGCGGGCGAGGCAGGCAAGCACCGGGCTGCACTTCAACAAAGAGACTAGGCTGTGGCGGCGGCCAGACACCGTGGTGCGGGGATCGCTGTGCCCCGAGGCCAATATACTGTGGGACCGTCGACCGCGAGGCGTAATTTTACCCGGGGATATCTGGAACGTAGACGTTTCCTGTCCCTAATCTAATCTAACGGGTTATATGTATACGGAACGTGAGGAAGATGAAGCAGCCTATGCGGGAACACTGCTGGTTCCTTTATAGATATATATATCACATCAATGACAATAAAGGGTATGACAGGTGTTCAGAACACGTTATGGGCACCTGTCAAATAGTGAGTGACAGTGATGCTGGTACACTTACCGGTCTGCTCTCAGGGGACAGTCTCACCATCCTCGTTTCCGTTCAGCGCTCCGATGATTCGAATTCCTCGACGGTTTCTTGCTGTTTTAGAAGTTTGCAATAGTTGATATGTTTATTATTTGCATCAAATACAAACAGAAACAGTGAATATCACCAGATCTTAAAAAAAGTCGTGGTTAGCGATCCAGTGTGTTCAATACAACTTTTTCATGATATATATTGTAAATGTTCCTTATCCACGAGTCAGTCGTTTGACTACTTTGCAGTGATAATTAATACAAATCAGTTTGTTGTTATATCTTGAACGTCCATACGTTTTTATTAATCTTGTGTCATTCAGCTTTATACCATTGAGTAAAACGACTGTGACGTTTTTCACATAATATTGTTAGTTCTCCCAGAAATCGATTCATCGCCTTCCTTCATCAGGTCAACATTGTTTACAATTTTCAGTCTCGTAGTCCACGCACGAGATTTGTTTCTTGGTGGGGTGGAGGAAGTGGAGAAGGAGCGCTCTCGGCGGCTGCCGGTATTGTGTCTCAGGATCTTCTCACACCCACCGCCTGCATGGCCGCCCCACCATTACCACCACCACCCACCACACCACTTCCACCACCCAACACATCACACCACTTCCACCACCCACCACATCACACCACCCACCACACCATTACACTTTCGGCTAAAGCTAAGCACCAACCAGACCTCCTTTCATAGCCATTTGAGTGGGAGAGCCACATGAAAGATCATGTGCTCAGGCTGACGTAATGGGAATATTATCTGGGAAAGCGACGCTCAAGAGGTGTGTGAGATGAACAAAAGGTGCATGAGGAGATGAACAAGAGGTGCGTGAGGAGATGAACAAGAGGTGCGTGAGGAGATGAACAAGAGGTGCGTGAGGAGATGAACAAGAGGTGCGTGGAACAAGAGGTACGTGAAAAAATGAACAAGGGGTTTACAATACATAAGCAGTGTGGAGACCCAGAGTGAGAGCCACTAAGTACTGCCAGTAGCAACACTAGATGATGCAGTAGTCACCTAAGAAGATGTAAAACATTACCTGGAGCAACAGGATGCAACACAACACTATAGGCCCAGACTCGATGTTACCATGACTGCTGAAGGAGGCTGCAAGGTTACTTATTCATCCGCATACTAAAATGGTCAGTTGAACAATTTTGACTGGAGATCCGGAAATATGGAAAAAAGCCTAGCATCCGTGCCGCGAAGACTTTATGTTGATCCTTGGAAGCACCACAAGGTAGGGAATCTCAATTATTAAAAAAAAGGGGGACAGATATGAGGCATTAAATTATAGATTGGAATCACTCGCATGTATTCCTTTCAAACTCTCGAGAGAAGTATTATCAGGACGATATTAATGGAACACCTGGAAAGGATAAATTGCATAACAAAAGGGCAACATGGAATTAGAAGGATTTAAAAAGGGCAACATGGATTTATGCCTCACAATCACGTGGAATTAAACACAACAGCATTGTTACAATTGCCATTTTTTTATGGATATTTTCCATTTTAGGTAAATACTTTCTACCACGAGGTTGAAGAAACACTAAATCACTTAATATTTCTTTTTTATTTCTTTGACGTTTCGTCAACAAAGACTTGACACTAAGGAGACAAGTATACTAAGTTAACGGGCAAAAACAGATATTTTTAAGTGTGTCCAACGACTCTTTAATTGTAAAGAGCGACGCAGAATAGGGTGAGGTGACTGCTGTCTAACTTATGGTTGTCTCCCGGGTCTGTTATCTTCCCTCTCGATCATAGCAACGCATCAAACAACTGATGCTCGATGTTTGGTCGACGAACTTCATGTTTGACGGCCTTTCTTTGATCCAGATGAAAGATAACAGATCCGATAGACAATCATTTGCTGAAGTTAGACAGCTATCACCTCACCCTAATTAATATTTGAGAAAATTCCTATTTGGAATGAACAGCTTGTTAAAATTGATGAATGCGTCCTTGGGGTCGGCCGCTGGATGGAATGAACATCGCCTGAGGACGGGTTGACTAAACAGGTGTACAACACCGGCCAACAGAACCTAAACACCTAACCTAACCTACGCCAAAGTGTGCACAATAGTCTGATATATAATAATAATTTATATTTGAGAAAATTCCTATTTTGAATACACAGTACGTTCAAATTGATGATTGCATCTTTCAAGGGGTCAGCCGCCGGATGGACGAGCATAATCCGAGGGCCGGTTGCAACCCGACTTCTATTTTGATTATCTGTACATTTATACACGGGTTAGTATTTACACTATTAGC